CGTATTCAACAATTTTACCTATCAGAAAAATTGTTGAGAAATAATACAATACCTACTTATCTTGAAGGTTCGGAGGCCCAAATCTGTCTCCGTCTTCAGAAATGGACAAAAAATTCAAAGATATATGCAGTTATTCTTTTGCTGATTATTTATTTCTCTACTTCTTCGACAGATGTCAAATAGATAATTCAGTGAGAAATAAATAATCAGCAAAGGAATAACTGCATATATCTTTATACATAGATGTGTAGATCATGCAAAGAAGTAACTTTCAGACACAAGCTGGAAAAAAAAGCCTTCCTGAATCAGTGATTTTCATATAAACATTGAATTACACGAAAGATAAATTATTTCGAAACAAATACTTTTATATGAACACTGAATTATACAGAAAAGTATTTTTTCAACTCAGTTTGTATTTCAAACNTGAACGAATATAATTCAAGTTATAGATCCAGTCGACACTGAAATTCTGTCCTAATTGTTTTATCAATTTCAACTGTAACATACTCTCTAAAAAATAACATTACTACATCTTCGAAAAATCTTAACAACACCAACATTGGGAACAAAAAAAAACCGAGGAATAAAATGTATTTGATCACTAAATCTATGAGCCATATTAGAATTATTTTCTGCACTGTAGTGTTTGAAATCCAATCCATTGACAGAAAAAGTTTCAGCAAATTTGAAATTTGGGAAGAACTAAATGGGTGAAATATTGAATTGTTAGGATGGATATGTGTGTCAAAAAAGTGAAAATAATTTCAAAATAATATGAAAAGGAACAGACATCGGATCTTTAATGTGAACAATATAAAAACTACAATTTGTTAAGAAAACCAATTTTTGTTTTCTGAATTAGAAATTGTGTAATAATATGGGCTAGACAGGATGTTAGCAACAATAAGTAAATAATAAGTGAAAAAATAGATAAGTGAATGGGATCAATCTCGTTGGGTTCAAAATATTTGAATCAGATAATTGAAATATAATATTAAAAACGTATGTGATGCAATGCATAATGTATATGAATTGTAAAAATAATAGAAGAGTAATTTTTGAAAAATATAAATCAGAAAAAGTATAAACAAAGAGTAGAAAGTCAAAAATAGAAGAAAAAAATACTAGGTAAAAACATTACCTAGAGGTAAAATACTTGAATCAGTTGAAGAAATGTAAAAATAATATCGTTACTGTCGACGTTTCGATTTTTGTAAAATCCTCAGGGCACTATGAAGTGAAGAAATATATTAGACATTCTTACAAATGTGTATGTAGTGAATTTTGTTCGTATATGGGGAAAACAATGGAATATAAAATAAATATGGAAATTTGGATAAAAAACAAAGTATTTCAGTTAAGAAAGATCATGTAAAATGAATCTATAGAAATTACGTATGAAGACTAGGCAAAACTTTCAATAGTGATACTCTACAGTTTTTCACCCAGAAACAACATAAATGATAGGTATACAAATTAACTATACCTAAATGAGTTTGTTCAGAGACTCCATTGAAATATATTTAGGAACGCCTATGATACTATTCATTGATATTGTTTCAAGACATATCAACATAAAAAATCTTATAATTTTTATGGATAGCAGCAAAAGTGTATGTTACATTAAATTTACAATATTTCGACATTGAATACTGTCATCATCATGGAGCTACAAAATTAGTTTTTCCTGAACTAATAATCAAAAAGTTGAAATTGTAATAATACCTAAAATGTTACAAAAACTTTTATGGAAATGTAAAACATTAAAATACATATAACTACTCAAAGACGACATAACAACTTGATAATGTTACAAAAGTTGCAATTTTTATCGATATTATTTTGGAATTAGAGATTTTTCCTAATAGCTCATTCATTCACCTCATAATCTTATGTAAATAACATCTTGATCGGTACTTCTCTTTCGAAGAAAGCATTAGGATGAAACCAAAACTGCAACACTCTTCTCGACGCGCGTTTGGCGTTTTCAGGAGCAGAAGTAGACTCCTTCTTGGAGACGTCAACTTGGATGATAAAACGCACATCGAGAATAGTGTTGCATTTCGGGTATTTGAGATCAGTGCTTGGTTTGAAATTATTCTTTGGCAGATGTTGCAGTTCTACCTTCAGTATTTTATTTTTCAACATTTCTTTGTGTTTTGAATTGTGAGTATTTTTTAATTTAATAATGAAACATACTTGGACATAATATGGAAGGAGTAAGTGTTTTTATGGATGACGTACATGTCACAGGTTCAAATACAGAACAACATGTTGAAAAAATTAAACAATCAGATCTCACAATAAATTTGAATGAATGCAAATTTTTACAAAAAGAAATACATTATTTAGGTCATCCCATCGATTCTACTGGACTGCATCCTACCAAAGAGAAATTAAAACAATTTCTGAAATGAAAATTCCTTCTAGTTAACGTGTGCTTCCTAACACATTTGTTGTGGCTGGTAAAAACCTGAACTGACACGATTTTTTCAATATTTGTATTTGTTGTTTGTTGTAATAAACCAGCTGAGGTTTGAAAAATTCATAAAATATATTGAATTATTATACCTACTCTCTGATTTCTAACAATTTGCTTGAACAAACAGAAAGGATAAACTCAGTTTATCGAATTCTGATAGCTGGCAGCAAATATTCGGAGTTGGTCGATTTCATATGAAATGAGATCAAGCATATAGTAAGTTGGCCTCGACTGGCAGACAGCATGACGCCCATAGAAACGTGGGTTTGTTTACTGTGCTAGCTGTTCGATATGCTGAAACGTGCTGTGGAAATTATTGTAAAAGTAAAAGTTGTTAACGTTTGTCGACTCGATGAATTCATTTTACACTTGTACATGGTCGTGCAGTGTTCATCATGGTCAAAAATAAAGTGTTCGTATGGTTATTTCTTTCAATATTCAATATTGGAAATGACATCGTGGTATATTGAACTGAATCAACTAGAGATGAGGATCCTACTAAACAATAACAGATTGTTTTAAGGTGGTTGACAATGTTTCATGATGCATTTCATTAGTTCGGACTACCATTGTCTAATATGATATGAATTAATTTGAAATCCTTGAAAGAATCTGTAAAAAATTGAAGAGGTTACCTGCAAAATAATGGTAAATTTTGAAAAAATTTTTGAGTGTACTTACGTATTTTGATGCGGCGCTCTCCTTTATTTACAAAGTTACGGCCCTTCAAAGTTCAGAAAAGGGCAAATTTTCAGCCTTCTTTTTCACAATATAAACTATTTAAAAACACAAGCATTTATTCACTAGGTCACCTTTACACCTTATTCCTCCTTCCTTGACACTTTTCACTTCAAGAATCAATATTTTTTTATTAAAAATGTAAAAAAAAATGTACGGAGCTGCTTATTGGTTTTATATGTCTCTGTATTCTACGTTTTCAAGGTTAATTGGCGTAGTTGGTACGACTGATGCTGCCGTATTGTTGCTGCAAATACTCCTACTTGAACTAAATGAAGAATTGAATTTTCTCTTACGTTAACTGAATTATTAATTTTGTTCAAAGTAATTTTATGTTTTTCTAACCATTCACGTCAAACTAAAAATCCAAATCTACGAATTTGAAATAGTAAGTGGCGGCAAATATCAACCACTAGTAACTAACCTAGAAATAGAAAAATGTCACCAGGAGAAGCATTCGTTTTTAAATTAAGTTTTTTATAAGAAAAATGTTGATTGTTGAATTGAAAAGTGTCAATTAAGGAGAAATAAGGTGTAAAGGTGACTTAGTAAATAAATGTTTGTGTTTTTAAATAGTTCATCTTGTGAAAAAGACGGCTGAAAAGTTGCCCTTTTCTGAACTTTGAAGGGCCGTAACTTCGTAAATAAGATTTCATAATTTCATGATTTGTAGAACATTCTTCATTAATAATGAAGAGTTATTTTTCATTTATTCAGTTTTGCAGATTTCGTTTGATCGACATTCAAGTTCAGCTTATAAATGTAAGATGCTAGTATAACCGCTTTTCATTATAACACTTGTGCAGAACAGAAAGGAAAATGATTTTGATAGTAGTTNACAATGATTTTGATAGTAGTTATCAAGTCGATATAATTAGGCCAGCACTAATTGAATGGCTAGAAATTTTTGTTAACAAGTACGTTAACATAACAATTTTATTATTTCATTGAATCATTATAGTCTGAGCTCCGAGAAACCACAATTTGATAAAAGTATCGATCCAAATGCATTTTTTATTTCAGATAACTGAGGACAATAGATTAACGGAAAAACAGATTTTGAAAAAAAGATTGTTATTATTCAACTATTTCTCTTTGTTTCAATCAATTCATAATTTTCCTCTTACACGAAGTCATTTATATATGAAGGGTAAATTCTTCGAATGACACCACACCAAACAGTTCAAGATTGAATAAACAATAAGTTTGAAACATACTGAAACACTAAATGTTTTGGATGAAATCCTAGCAATATTTTCTTATGTTCAAATACAACCCTTATACGTCATGACAAGTAATGTTCATTAAAATTCTAATTCTCTTCCATCCCTATGACAAAAAAATCCATAACCGCAATATTCATGTTGAACATGAAATAACAACCTAAACCTCCGTAGAAACAAGTGAAGAACAAATATAATAAAGACTGCACACCTGAGTTCAAAGAACTAAAATGAGCTTAGCACTACAAATAATTTCAAGCACTTTTCTTACATATCCACGTGTTTTTCCTTTTCATATTTCCTTGTTTCACCTATATATAAATTTATGACACGCATTGGTTAGGATTACGTCGTGACAATTGGCATTAGTTTTCGTGAATTTATTTTATTTATTCTTTCCGCTATTAACGTCATCGATTGCTGTGGTCGTTCGCCTCGTGTCCTAGATAGGTTATGTCGGTAATTCCTCGAGCCACATAGGGAGCATCACTATGATAATGCAACGCTGTATATATTTCTGTTCACTGAAATAATCTGTTTTTTTTTTGTTTCAGACAAGGAAAATATTCAAAAGTGAAAACGTTGACAAAGTCTTCGAAGAACAAAGGTACGATTGGTTACCTAATCTACCCGATCTGATGTTTTTAGAAGACAACTCTAAGAAGGTTAGTTACTATTTATTGAAATTAATTTCTGAAAGATATCCCTCAGTAGATCTTGAATGAATGTTTTTTAATAATTTCAATGCTTCTGATTGGTAAAAATGATCTTTCATATTTACACGCTTTATATTAGCTTCACCTATATGAATGTTTTTTGTTTGTTTGTAACTCTCAAGCTCGGGATCTGTATTTGACAGAATTATCGATATTATTGCTTGATCTATTCGCGGGCAGATGGCGCTGTACGAATGTCATCTTTGAAATAAGCGATATAAAACATACTTTTATATGGCTTTCTTTTCTTGTACAAGTCAAAAATAAAGAAAACATTATTAACGTTTGCATGATAGCTTCTATTCATTGAAAAGAAATAGGTATACAAACATAAATTGTCTCCAGTTTTTCAGATTTTTCAGACGTTTACTATCGTTTGACAGTTTACATTGTTAACATTTTCTTTATTAAAAAGTGTATACGGTTTCAATTTTTATACTACATATATAGTTGTTTTCACAAACAATGGACTGTGGGCATTTTATATACTAATCATTTCCAACCTAAAATCAGGAATCGCTGTGTTTAATGTTCCGCACACTGAAGTATTTAAAATTGCCAGATATTGGAGTTGAAAATTGAAATTGATCCAAAATCGTATCTTGAGGTTTTCACTCTTACTGTATTTAATCGTTCACAAGTGCATGTGCAATTTTTTTCGACCCAACCGTCTGAATGAAATTGATATGGTATTTGAAAGGGTGTTTGTAATTGTTTAAGACTGATTATGAAATGGATCTCTGACATTTTCATGTTGAAATTTGTTTGTGTAACCTCACGAAGTTACTATTAATCGTTTTTTTTTATTTCAGACTGAAGATATTTTATTGGATTCTTACTACTATCTTCAACAAGTTGCAGTTGGGTTGGAACAAGTGATTTGGGATCAGCAAGATAGACCCGGCCATTTTCCTAGTGAATTTAAAGCACAGCAGAACTACCTGATAATAGTACTATGTGAAATCCAAATGTATATCAACGACATGAACATTAAAATCAATAGAGATGCCGAGAGGAGCATAATGCCTGAATCACTTAGATCTGTTGAGAGTGTGACAGAGAGCAATGTTAGGGATTACATCATTCTCAGAACTTACGAAAATACCCTGGAACATGTCAAGAAGGTGTTCAGCCACTTGGCGAGCAAAGTATAAATGGTTGTCAATAGTGTTTTTGAAAAAATATAAGAAGAGTATTGAGACAATGGAATTCAGTCTACAGTTGGAAAGATGACTTGAGAAATCATGTTTCTGTTAATTGTGTATATGACGACGGAAATTTTGCGATAATTTCTTAATCGGCTCTCTAATAATGGTTAAATTTGATGAGTGTTGACCTAAAATTGTCAAGATTTTGGATTTTGGGAATAGTGAACGATAGTTATGTGACCTTTTGAATTTTGCAAAATTT